ATTTCTTCAGACAAATGGAATACAGTACAGGTGGCCGAATCCTGAAGGTGTCATCTTTAAAATCAACGATAAAAGAGAGAAAATTGACTCCATCTTTAAAGCGAAGGAATTTCTGAGATGGCAGGTGGGGTCAGGGGAAGAACTTAAAGAAGAAGAAACAAAGTCAAGTGACTCTGCCACCTCTGGAACAGATGAGGACTCTGTGGGTGAAACGGGAGCGGGAGCAAGTAAAACTGTGTATGATTTTAGAGAGAGAAAGCAGAAGTAAGGGCAGAAGGACTCTTGAAATGGCCCTTTGAAGTAAAGAAGATGCTCAAGATGTGTTCTCAAAATAACTAACTTACTAATATTGAAGCAGTAGGTTTTTTTTAAAAAAAGAACTCACAAATATATTGTTATACTAACACGTATTAACTTACACATAGATTAACATGGATATGATCTCCTACTCTTGGGTTTTTAGTTAGTGTGGGTATCTTTCCTTTATCCCTAGTTGCAGTCCCTCCCTTTATTTTCTGTTGTAGTTATGTGGTCTTATGAAAAAATAAAAAAATTACCCTCTCGGGGGTTTCAAAAAAAAAAAAAAAAAAGGAAATGGTTGCTTTGGCGGGTGGACTCTATGGAGAAGGAAGAGGATGAAGAGGAGATTGGATTTATACCCCACTCTTCACTACCCAAAGGAGCCTCAGAGTGGCTTACAATCTCCTTTCCCTTCCCCTCCCCCTCCCCACAACAGACAGCCTGTGAGTTAGGTGGGGCTGAGACAGCTGTTTTGCGAACTGCTCGTGAGATAACAGCTGTGAAAGAACTTGTAACTGACCAAAGGTCATACCAGCAGCTGCATGTGGAGGAGTGGGGAAGCAAACCCGACTCTCCCAGATTAGAGTCCACGCTCCTAACCACTACACCAAACTGGCTCTCTTTGAGACCACTCCCCTCCTTGTACCCTGCCCTCCACAGGTCCACTCCCAAATCTCTAGGAAATTCTAATCCAGAGTTTGCAAACCTCTCTGGTACGGCAGCTGATGTTTAACAACAAGTTACATATCCACATTTGAGTTCTGTAAGAACCCTTGGGTGCACACAGACATCTGAATCTGCAGAGTTACTAGCTTTCAGTTGGCTCAACAGTCCTACAACTTCAATTCTTGCCACATCAACTTCCTAAAAACAGTGGCTCCAGCATGGGTAGGTGCCCCACATTTTTCACAGTGAAAACAGATGCAAAGAATTTGTTCTGTTGCTCAGCCGTCTCCCATCTTCCTTGAGGAAGCTTTTCATCACTTTGGCCCCGGTCACATGGGCCGGATATCACGGGGAGGAGGCGTGGCTGTTTGCCCCGCAGCGAAATAACGCGCAACTGAAATAACGCTGTTACCTTCCCACCGAAGTGGTACCTATTTATCTACTTGCAATTTCTTACTTTCGAACTGCTAGGTTTGCAGGAGCTGGAACTAGAGACGGGAGCTCACTCCGTCATGCAGCACCTGGGTCTCGAACTGCTGAACTACCGACCTTCCACAGCCTGCAGTTCAGCGTCTTAACCACTTGAGCCACCGCAGCTCCTATAAAATCAAGTACTGACTTCAAAAATCTGAAATGCATTTTAAACAATACTGTCTAGCAGGTGGT